TAATTGCCTCTCTCAGACTGTAGGCATATCTGTCGGTCATTTCCTTGATCACTAATGGAGGTGAGTAGACCCAATGTGCGTGGTTTTGTAACTAGGTAGGAGGGACTGGACCGTATAAAACAGATAACTGAGTAGAACAGAAGGTTGCAAGTCAGTAAGTCACAGTTATACTCTTTGCCTCAGTTCCTGCCTCCAGGTTTCTCGTGGTGACGGATTGCATTTCTCACAAAGAACGACACACTGTGCCCAATACACATTTCATTGACAACAGCGGGACACAGCATGGAAGAAGATATCTTCAGGTGGGGGCAAAGAAAGGCTGACAGAACACAAGGGACATGAAATCAGTACACAGTTATCAGGGGAAAGAAAGGCAGCCAGTCAGCATGGATCAGGTGACCCAGAGAAGAGAGTGAGAGCAGGGAATATTGAGAATAAAGTAGAGTGACATGAGTGTGAAGACTCCATGATTATAAACACACTACTTCATATATGAATTTAATAATTAATTTAGAAAAATGGTATAATGTTTTGGTATGGGTATGTTTTTATTCAAATTTCTAGCTGCATAATTCTATTAATTTTCTTTACTACAGTATTGTAATCATTATTTAGTTGAAAGACACTGGGTTTTTTAATCTTTTTCTACCACAAACAATATTATAGTGAATCTGCTTATCTCTATATAACTGACAATGTGCAGGTGTTTATAGTAAAAGTGACCAATTAAAATTGTGTTATATACTCAAATTGTCCCTCAGACGTCTCACCAATTCATATTCCTAAATATGTTGGAAGAAATCAGTTTTTCTATACATAAATTTGCTAAAAACAATCACTATGTTTGTGTAGGTACGTGCATATAGTTAATGTCTGAAATGCAAAAATACACATTTGAGTGTGTAGTGACGTATTTTTCCATGAAATTTTATTAAATATATTATACTTACACTCAGAATAATTACTTTAACATTACTTTCTTTCTGGTCTTATGTTAATGTTCTACAAGTTTCATTAACTTGTGGGAATTGTGTCTCTTCATCTATTTGGAATTCAATGTAGAAACTACCCTTTCTTTTTGTTTTGTTTTGTTTCTGAAAATAATTTTTTTCAGACAGAAATTCTGATTACAGCTTTCCCTCCCTCTCCTCCTCCCAGTTCCTCCCCTCCTCATTTTCCATCTGGATCCAGCCCCTTATGTGTTCTTAGAAAGCACAGAGGCACGAAAGGGGCATGAATAAAGTAAAACATTATAAGAAAAAACAAATCAGAATAGGACAAAACAAATAAACATAAAGAAAAGAGGCCAATAGAAGCCACAGGAAACAGTAGACACAGAGGCCCACCCTTTCGTGGATTCCTATATCCTGTAAAAACACAAAAGTGGAAGCCATAATTCATCTGTAAGGAATGAAAACATAGTTCAAAATTTACAAATTTTGAGGCTCATGGATTCTGACTGCAATTATTATTTTTACAGATTTCCAACCCTTTGATTCTTACATTTAAGGTGGCTTAAATACGAGAAAAGTTCAATGATATTGTCAGGAAGAATATTAAAATCATTCTATAATCTATTTGCCCTTTCATAAATAAAGCCACAAGGTATCTGAGCTAGAGGAACGATTTGATCAGATGCAAATAGACCATAACTTTAAAAATACAATCCCAATATCAAAACTTCCCACACACATAAAGAGTGTTATTTTTGCATTGAACATTGTACTGGTTAGTTTGGATGAACTCGACACAGACTTGGGTCATTGTGAGGAAGGAATGGCAATGGAAAAACCGTCTCCCCCAGACTGGGCTATAAGGCATGATTATGGGGCCAGAACATTCCTCCTTTCCCTGCTGGATAATTGCATCTGTAAAATATTTAGTTGCTTAAATGAGTAAGGGCCAATATAAACACATATTTCATGTTGTATTATTATTTGAATTTTATAACTGAATCATAAATTACATGATTTAATTGATCTTTATTTTTACTGTGAACAGCAACTCATTTGTTTTAGAGACAAAGATACCAAGATGTGGAGACAGAAAATGATCTGGTCACTGTCAAACGGCAAAGACTCTACAGTCGTTCCAAGATCTTCCTTGACTCCACCTATCATCAATTGACCTGCACCTGTGTTCTGAAGCTGTGTGTCCCCAGAACTCTCCCTTCCCCTACCTCTTAAAGGAGGTGTCTCTTCCTCTTCTTTATTGTAGGAGGAAATGAGTGTCCCTCGTTTCCATCCCTAGGATTCATTGTTATCTCACTAGAATTTTCAGTATATATAATATATAATTACATTTGGTGTATTTGCCTTAACCCAGCCAATAATTAAATGGGTACATTTTTCTTTACAAGGGTAGTTTAAGTCTGGATCTTGTCTGTGTTTGTAGCTCTTTCCAATTACCTTGGCATCAAACTAAAGTTCCCTGAAAAACAAAACAAAACCAAGCCTTATTAAGGATTCTAAAAGCCCAGTTGACTACTGTGAGCACCGTTTCTTTCTGGTTTGTTCAGTGTGTGTGTGTGCGTGTGTGTGTGTGTGTGTGTGTGTGTGTGTGTTGTGTGTGTGTGTGTGTGTGTGTGTGTTATAAGATAGGGCTTCACTGTATAGTCCAGGTTGGCCGCTAAACCACAGATCTCTGCCTGTCTCTGTCTCCCACGTGCAGGATTAAAGTCATGCACCACCATTTCCAGTTTTATGAAAACATTATGATTGTAAAGATTTAGAATGCTGCAGATACACAGCTGAATCATCTTGAGATGTCTTTTTTCCTTTTACTGGGGCATTCATTGTCCACCTGTGTCTGACCAAACAACCCCTCATACACAGAGAGCTTTTTGACTCACTGTGTGTGCAGTCCAGGCTGGCCTCAAACTCATGGAGACCATGTGCCTTAACTGGTGATGGGATTTCAGGTATAAGCCACCATTGCTATCTGCTTTTGTATTTAAAGATGTTTTAAAAATTGCCTTATCTATTATATAGTCCTCTTCACAATATCTCTCCCTCTGTTAGTGCCTCTATTACTCTAAGAAACCTCTATTTGCAACTGGACCTAAAGGTACAAACTTCTATGTCTATTGTTAACAATATACCTACCACCGGGCTTTGGGCTGGGATTGCAAGTCTCTGTTATTGATGTTGTCTCTGGAATTATGTTCATTCTCTGTGGCTGTTATAACACATTGACAGAATTCTGGTAGGTTAAAACAACAGAAATTTATTATTTTCAAGTACTGAAGTTCAGAAATGTGACAAGGGACTCAATGATCATAAGAAATTGTGAGCAGGACTGGGTTTCTTTCTGGGACTCTGGGGTGAGTTGATCTTCTTTCTTATGTGTGTCAGCACTTAAAGCCTGTTTCTGTTGGTTAGTGAGAACCTTCCATCTTCAAAACCAACAAAACTAAGTTAAGACACCACCTTTACCCTGACCTATTTCAGTTTTGTTCACTTATTTTTCTTAATTTTGTATTCAATTGTGTTTATGCATACATTGGCATTATAAGCCTTGTGTGCCATGTACACACACATACATAGAACGTTTACCATTTTCATATTTTTCTTTCTCCTTTTGATTTCATCATGGAATAAATTGTATTTTACAATCATTGTTTCATGAATTTATCGAATTTTGCAGGTCCGTAAACAATCAAACACTGTTTGGCTTTTGAGATGCTTCTATTTTTTGCACGATTTTCCCTTAAATACTATAGGAATTGAGTGAATTTCATACCTAGATATGAATAAATTAGATGTGTTCTCTAACATAGAAAGCAAGTCTGGCTGTCTCTCTTGTATCCTCTCCTTGCTCTGGTGGATTCTGATTCTCCTCCTGTCTTCTCCTAAAATCAACACATGCAATCAATACAGATGGAGAAAAGTTACAGAGGTCAGAGGACTCCTGAGTGTATCTTTAAGTTTAGTCCTAGCACTTCTCAGTTTAGTGCTCAAGTAGCTGTTAGTCCTTTTTTATTTTATCTGAATTTTTTAATCATTTACTGGTGTGCATTCATCCTCTCTAAGCGTAGACACTGTGGATTTTATTCAGTTATAAATGTGTCTGTAGTAAATATAATGTTTTCATTTTATTTGCTGTTTCAACTTTTCCTGTGTTAATATATATTTTACTATACCAATAAATCTATTTAGCTAGTGCTTATAATTTTCATATATTTTGCTTTTATAATGTCACTTCTATTACTGTTACTTAACAACTTAGATCTAACATTTAAATTTTCTCTCTTGGGTGAGGAACTCGGGGTAGGGCAAGAATAGTCACTATTTTTAAAGGCACACACCAGGGGCCAACCAGTCTCTAACTTGAGCAGTTTCTAGGACCCTCATCTGTTCCATTGTGTTTCTAATGAAGTCAAAGCTTTAATAATCCAAGCCCATATGAACACTAAACACTGAGGACCTAAGAACCCACCTTTATGGTCAGTAAGATCTGTGGTGTAGATCAGTGAGATGACTAGGTTTTTAAAATTATTATCTGATTCATGAACAAGAAGAGGCAGGCATGCACTACTTGTTTCTGTAAGGGGCAGCCTAATAGAAAAATAAAGTAATTTCAAAGTGTTTGCTCCATGCAGTCAAATTGCACTGAAGAAATGACAGCCAACCTATCAACAATCCCACATTTGAGGAGCAAATCTGGACTTCAAGCCCAAGCAGACTGTGAGGAGGCACTCAGAACACCCACTGGGATGTTGCTAGATAATACTGAATAGGAAGTCAGGATGCTTATGGCCATTGAGAGAGGCCAAAGGCATGCCTGAGAAGTACCACTTAAGGGGCCCTCAGGAACCAGGATTGTCCTAGTCAGTGTTCTATTGCTGTATGAAGACATCATGAGCATGGTATAAAAGGAATGCATTTAACATGCGGCTTGGTTACAGTTTCAGAGGCTAAAATCCATGGGAAGGGGCATGTCAGAGCACAGGCAGACTTGGTAGCTCAGAGTTCTACATCTGGATCCAATGTAGGAGGCAGCAGGATGGGAGAGACACTGGTACTGACTTGAGTTTCAGGGATCCCAGAGTCCACCCCAGTGAAACACTTCCTCAAATTCCTCTTGGTCTATGACTGCATTTGTATAAAGTTCCTGAGATGACAAAATTTATACTGACAGCAGATTAGTGGCTGCCTGGGATTAAGTAGTGAGTCACAATAGGCATAACATGGAGGAGGCTTTCCAGGAAGGAGGTACTGAGTGTAAAAATAGACACTTATATTTTGTTTTTTATTGTACATGGTATTTTTTATAAACCAAGAATAATACATAGATCTGTGTATTACAAATTCTGTACCTACAATTACCTCAGAAATAAAAGACATTAAATATTAAATGCCAGAAAATTCTAATTAAAGTACAAGCAGTGGGTCCATGACAAAATAAAAGTCAGTTATTTCTCCTTTGGTGACACACAGAGATGGGCAAATCCTGAGTCATAAGTCATTTTAAAGAATGCCTCTTCCCATCATGGCAGAACTCTTATGCTCTGGTTCAAAATGTTTCTCACGCTCCTGTTTGTCCTATCTCGGCTGCACTTTTACCACGTTTCTTCTCCGTGCATATGGCAGTGGCTCACAGTGACCTGGGCTGAGGTAGTATCTGCTCCAGACACTCTGATTGTTTTTTAAATTCTGTCAGATGGGAATGGAAGCAGCCATCTTGACCACATGGCCTCGCTGTAGGCCTACCCACTCTATAAGTTATTCCTTTCCCTCAGCCTAGGCAGACAGACAGTCTAGAGAACTTTTGTCAGCAAACCCTGCTGACAGACATGGTTCATTCACTTTTTTCCTTCTATTTTTGTCTCTAATTTCTTCTTGTCTGTTGTGCATGAGTTGTTTGTGGAATAGTATGCTTCCCCAGGACCCGCTAGGGGACAAGTTTGATGCAAAAACTGTTCGGTTCTGTATGCAGAGGATCTGCTTTCTTGTCACTGGCAAGTTTAAGTCTACTATGTATCTTTAAATGTCCTGTCTGTATGCTGCAACATGAGAATCAGAGGTCACACTCTGGTTCTTCTTACCTAGAGTCCCATTTAATATATCTATGTGTATGCATTCATGTAGCTATTGTATAAAAATTCAACTATCCAATCAAACGGACCCAAGGAACAAGGGGGTAAAGCAATCCTAATATCTAACAAACTAGACTTGAAATTAAAATCAGTCAAAAGAGATGAAGCAGGACGTTTCATATTCATCAAAGGAAAAGTCCATCAAGATGAAGTCTCAAATTTGAACATCTATGCACCAAATACAAAGGCACCTACATTGGGGAAAGAAACATTACTAAAGCTCAAATTGCAAATAAAATCTCACACACTAGTAGTAGGAGACTTCAACACTCTGCTCTCACCGCTAGATAGGACCTCCAGAAAGAAACTTAACAAAGAAACAGAAGAACTAATAGAAGTTATGATCCAACTGGATTTAACAGACATCTATAGAACAATCTACCCAAACACAAAGGGATATATTTTCTTCTCGGCACCACATGGAACCTTCTCTAAAATTAACCACATAATAGGAAACAAAGCAAATCTCCACAGATACAAAAAAGTTGGAATAATCACCTGTATATTATCAGACCACCATGCATTAAAATTAGAATTCAACAATAACACAAATTGCAGAAACCCTACAAACTCATGGAAATTGAACAATGCACAATTGCACCATCCCTGGGTAAAGGAATAAATAAAAAAAGAAATTAAAGACTTCCTGGAATTCAATGAGAATGAAGACCCAACATACTCAAACTTATGGGACACTCTGAAAGCAGTGCTGAGAGGAAAGTTAATATCACTAAGTACCCACATAAAGAAACTGGAGAACAGTCACACTAGAGAATTAATAGCACAGTTAAATGTTCTGGAACAAAAAGAAGCAAACTCACCCAGGAGGATTAGACGCCAGGAAATAACCAAATTTATGGCTGAAACCAATCAAGTAGAAACAAGGAAAACATTGAGAAGAATCAATGAAACAAAGAGTTGGTTCTT